GTCCACTGAGCAGGCTCGGATGAGTTGATATTTGGGTGTACTGAGGAGGGACATTCAGGAGTTCGTATCGAACTCGTCATACCGGACCTTTGTTGAGCTCCAGGAAAATGCCTGGAAGAGGGAGATCGAGTTGGAGACTTAGGCCAGGGAGGAGGCCGAGTCTCAGCGGGTGGATCGACGGCCAACTTAGTCCCAGCCGGCAGCCAAGCGGACCAAGTCTTCCGATTCGAGGACGGGAGGTCAGAAGGGCCGCACTTACGAAAAGTGTGGCAAGGGTCATGAGGGGGCCTGTCGATCAGGTGCTTGCTACAAGTGTGGCAAGGAGGGGCACATCGCTAGGGATTGCCCCAATGGATTTATGGTTTGCTTCCATTGCAACCAGACCGGCCAACGGAAGGCCGAGTGTCCTCAGCTTCACCAAGGATCTACGCCTACTACTAGGGTTATCAAGACTCGGCCAGTGAAAGCCGAGGCTCCGAAGGCTCGTGGTAGAGCTTTTCAGTTGACTGCGGAGGAGGTCCATTGTGGATTCATAGCCTATGTGATGGACACACGAGTGGCCGCGGCGAGGCCAAATTCGGTTGACGAGGTTCCAATAGTGTGCGAGTTTTCAGATGTTTTTCCCGAAGAACTACCAGGCATGCCTCTAGAAATGCAAGTGGAGTTCCATATCGATCTGGTTTTGGGAGCAGCGCCCATCGCCATGGTGCCTTATTGCCTCGCTCCACCAGAAATGCAGGAGTTATCCTCGCAGCTTCAGGAGCTGTTGGGAAAGGGGTTTATTCGACCGAGTAGCTCACCTTGGGGAGCACCGATTCTTTTTGTCAAGAAAAAGGATGGTTCACACCGGATGTGTATCAATTACCGAGAGTTGAACAAGTTGACGGTTAAAAACCGGTATCCGTTACCTAGGATAGATGATCAGTTCGATTAGTTGCAGGGGGCATCTTGGTTCTCTAAGATAGACTTGAGGTCGGGTTATCATCAGATAAGGGTTCGGGATGAAGATATCCAAAAAACTGCATTCAGAACTTGTTACGGGCATTACGAGTTTCTGGTGATGGCTTTTGGGCTCACCAATGTCCAGGCAGAGGCTGCGAGACCAGAAAACCAAAAGATGGAGAGGGTTGTCGGGAAGGTATCAGAATTCGTTACTGATGGTCGGGGACTTATGACATTTCAGGGTCGGATTTGGGTACCGTTTGTGGGCGGTACGCATACTATTTTGATGGAAGAAGCACATCGATCGAAATTCTCGATCCATCCCGGGGCTACTAAGATGTATTTGGACCTAAAGAATGAGTATTGGTGGCCCTGTATGAAGAGGGATGTTGCATGGTTCGTCGAGAGGTGCCTGACTTGTCGTCAGGTTAAGGCCGAGCACCAACATCCGCATGGTAAGTTGCAGCCGCTGGATATTCCCGAATGGAAGTGGGAACAGATTACCATGGATTTTATCACCAAATTGCCAAGGACTGCGAGAGGGTTCGATGCAATTTGGGTGATTGTGGATAGATTGACGAAGAGCGCTCATTTTCTAGCTATCAGTGAGAGCTTTTCTGCTGAGAATTTGGCAGAGTTATATGTGAGGGAGGTGGTATCGCGGCACAGGGTTTCGATGTCGATCGTTTCATATCGGGACGTACGATTTACTTCTAGGTTTTGGAAGAAGTTTCACGAGGAGTTTGGTACGAGGTTGCATTTTAGTACCGCATACCACCCGCAGACAGACGGAAAGAGCGAGCGGACGATTCAGAAGCTTGAGGATATGCTCCGAGCATGTGTTTTGGATTTTGGAGGGAGTTGGGACACCTATTTACCCTTAGCACAGTTTTCGTACAACAACAACCATCATTCGATCATTGGTATGCCACCCTTTTAGCTGTTGTATGGAAGAAGGTGTCGCACCCCCATCTGCAGGGGAGAGGTGGGGCAACGAGTAATGGGTAGTATGGAGATTGTACTTCAGATGATCGAGCAGATACAGCAGATCAGGCAGATATTGTTGACCGCTCAGAGTCGCCAGAAGAGTTATGAGGACAGGCGTCGGTCCGAGCTCGAGTTTTAGGTTGGTGACCTTGTGCTCTTAAAGGTCTCTCCTTGGAAAGGAGTGAGACGATTCAGGAAGAGGGGAAACTTGGGACCTCGATATATTGGACCTTTCAGGGTACTCGCTAGGGTAGGCAGGGTAGCCTACCGGTTGGAACTACCTGCTGAGTTGGGTCAGATCGACGACACCTTTCATGTGTCGCAGTTGATGAAATGTATTGCCGGCGAGTCGGCAGTGGTGCCATTAGATGATATTCAGGTGGATGTAGGCCTGAACTATGTTGAGAGAGCAGTGGCAATTAGGGATCGAAAGGTTAAGGTTCTAAGGAACAAGGAAGTACCCTTGGTGCAAGTGCAGTGGCAACATCGGAAGGGGTCCGAGCTGACATGGGAGTCCGAGCCTGAGATGCGAGAGCAGTATCCGGAATTCTTTTCAGTGTAAGAGTTTGGGGACGAAGTCTGGTTCTAGTGGGGGAGAATTGTAACAACCCAAAATCCAGGTACCCTTTTATTTAGCCCTTCATCTTTAATTTTGTTGTCATTTTAGGGCTTTTATGTTGGGCGAGTACGCTGCGCGTACTCGCGCGCTTCATTTAAACGCATCCTCCCTCGGGTACGCTGGGCATACCCAAGGTTACGCTGGGCATAACTGGTCCAGACCTAAAAACCCTAATTTTTGTGGTTGACTATAAAAGGAATGAGATGGCTTGATTCCTCAGCCACTGTCACTCAGAAAGAAACCCTAAGAGAATGTTCCTTCGTTCCTAGCTCATTTGTGAGTGTTCTGGGCTTGGTGGTGTCATTTCAAGGTAGCAAAGGAGAAGAGGAGTCCATTGTGAAGGCTAGAATTTGGTGTTCAAGTGTAGATCTGTGAAGGTTGGAGCTTCATTCTAAGGTAAAAAGTTCGGATCTTGACTTGTAGTTCTTGTGGTATGCTTTATGGACCATTTTCTAGGGTTTGGGTCCCAAAGGTGGAGACTTTATGAGCAAGTGGTCACCATTAGCTTAGATCCATCATATTTCTGGTCCATTTGAGTTGTAGATTCATAAAAATGTAACCTTGGATATGAATGATTAGCCATGCATGAGATCTAGATCCTTGAGATGAAATGGAAAGGTGTTAAGGAGTGTAAGAGCCTTTACAGCCATGCAAAAGATTAAAGGTTTCGACTTTATGAGTAAGGTGGCTTAAATAAAGTCGGATCTGGAAGTTGAAGAAGTGGCTTAACCGATTAACACCAAAAATGAAGAGTGTCTAGATCTGACTATTACGCTGGGCGTAACTCCTAGTACGACCAGCGTACTGGGTGGAGACCCTGACTTTTGGTTTGGTGATGTATGCCCCGCGTATATTAGTCTATACGCCCCGCGTACTGAACATGTTGACTTTTGTTGACTTTTAGGGTTTTGGTCAACATGTGGACTTTGAGTCAAGGAAGGGTAAAATGGTCTTTTACCCCTCTGAGGAATGATAATAAGGGGTAAAGTCTAGTTGTGGAAATCTATATTAATTAAAATGATATTCGTTATGATTAGGCGAGGTCGAGTCTTTGTTTGGGATTCAGAGATAGCGAGCACGTGAGATTCTAGACTTTCCACGAGGTGAGTTTTCTCACTATACTGTTCCCGGAAGGGTTTTATTGTGTGACCGGAAGGTCGGATATGTTATGAGTTGTATGCATTGTATATGATAATTTAATCGTTTGTATGTGCTATGTATGCTATGCTCGATATGGGCCGGAAGGCATTATGTTATGGGCCGGAAGGCATTATGTTATGGGCCGGAAGGCATATATGTTATGGGCCGGAAGGCGTTGTGATGTGGACCGTAAGGTTGACGCAGGTAGGACCGGAAGGTTTACCGAGTCGGGATGGAAGTCCCCTGAGACACATGGACCGGATGGTCAGGGCCTAGAAAGGCGTATGTGCGTAAGTAGTATTTTGGGGAACTCACTAAGCATTTATGCTTACAGTTGTTGTGTTATGTGTTTCAGGTACTAGCGAGGACCGTGGGAAGGTGCCGGCGTGATTTGTACACACTGAAGAAAGAACTGTTTTATGATCATGGGATGTATTTTGTTACAATGACAATTGTTACACATGTGATTTTAGAATATTAAATGATGGTTTATGATGTTTGCAAAAATGAAAATTTGTTTTGAAAATTTATGTTGTTACAAAAAGTGTCATCTCTTCAAAAAAAAATTAAGGATTTAGGTCACGCATTATTGTGTGACCTTAAACTAGTGTCTAAAAAAAACACGGAGGGGAACTTATAATAAGATGCATGCCGTCTATGGATGTCGCTTTATAAATTTTAATAGAATGCACCTTCCATCCTATAATAACAAGTGGAAAAATGAAATGCTAAAAAATTAAAAACCTTGCCTTCCTTTTTTCTCCTTTCCGTCTTTCCCTAATTATCGACACTGCTTCCTTCCCCATCCGAAAATTGACTGTGGCCTACTTCTTCCCTCGCACTTCTCCCATCGTTAATTGCCATTTACGGTCGTTGACTTTGATGAAGGCCACAGTAGGCAGGCCATCTCCGAAGTTATAGGGCAACGAAGATGGCTCCAAAGAAAAAAGATGCCATGCCATTGACTTTAGGGATGGAAGATAACAACAATTGAGCATTATATCTTATAGATGAATTCATGTGACCTTCTCTAAAATTATGCTTGAATTTACTTTGAAAATGGTTGATATATTACACAGACATATGTTTATGGCACTCTTTATCAATATGATGTTGATAAAGGAGATTGGAAGCTAATTTATAGCACTAACAACTCCCTCTTTGCAGTCCACGATCTGGTCATCAAATGGTATGATCATATCTTTCTGATTTTGCTTATGTCATGAATCTTTTAGGGTTTCTATGTAAACCCTAAACCTCATTTGCAGGTTTCATTCTCTGATCAAGTTGTTGCTGTTCGGGAAGCTGCTGAATGTGCTGCTCGTGGTATGATGTCTCAACTTACTGTTCAGGGAATGAAGCTTCTTCTTCCTTTACTTCTCAAGTTCCCTCTATTTTTCCTGCTTCCTTCACTTCTCAACATGGCCACAACCCCGAGCGTACTCCTTGGATGCTACAACTTGCTCATGCATCAGAAGAGTTGATGAAGATGTTGTTTAATGTGGAAACATACAAGTTAATATGATTTCTATCTTCAATATTTTAGTCTATATGCTTAAAAGAGGAATGTTTTTTTAATAAATATTGAAATTATCAGATCTACGATGATGGAGTTTGAGATTAACATGGCAGAGATACCACTTGGGAAGCTGAGCAAAAGTAATATCAAGAAAGGTAATGAAGATTGGTAATAAATTACAGTATGATGTCATTATAATTTGTGTATTTTTTCTGTATTAGTCTTACAAGAAAAATATGTTTGTTTTTATTGAAGGTTTTGAAGTACTGACAAAGCTTCAGAATCTATTGAAAGAGACAACTGATAATCCTCAAAAAGAAAGCTTGATTGTTGATGCTAGCAACCGATTTTTTACAGTCATTCCTTCTGTTCATCCACATGTAACGAAGGATGAGGATGACTTGAAATTAAAGGTTGTGGTGACAATTTATTTATATTTTTAAGATTTTATTGATGTTTTAGGATCAATATGATGACATTCATTCTTGTTATATTGGTAGGTCTAAATGTTGGAAGCACTTTAGGATATTGAAATAGCTTCCAGGCTAGTAGGGTTTGATTTGGACAATGATGATTCACTCGATGATAAATATAAAAAGCTTCAATATGAAATATTCCCACTTCCTCATGATAGTGAAGATTATCAGTTAGTTGAGAAGCATCTCCAAACTACGCACCTTCCTACACATACGAGGTGTCTTTTTTTGACTTGTAGTTTCTTGGGCTTTTTGGTCATTTCACATTATGCTGAAAGGTTGGCCTTGTTTGCACTTTGTAAATTGTAAGATTTGGCACTTGAACTGGAAGAAGTTTTCACAGTTGAAAGACAAGGAGAGTTTGATAAGTTCGTTCCATATAAAAATAAACTCAAGAACAAGATGCTCCTTTGGCATGGTATAGTAGATTCAAACCTTTTTCTTTTAAGTTTCATCTATCATACAAGATGAGAAGGGAATTAATGTCTTTTACATGGATATTAATGAAATCTATTGTTCTTAATAGGTTCTCGTTTGACAAACTATGTTGGTATTTTAAGCCAAGGATTGCGAATAGCTCTCCCTGAAGCTCCTGCAACCGGATACATGGTCCTCTCTCTCTCTCTCTCACACACACACACACTCTCTCTCTCTCTCTCTCTCTGTAACACCCCAAGTTTGGTCAATTAATGTCCCTGGGGATGAAAGGGTAAATCCATGAAGAGCCTAAGGGCTAATTTGTAATTTTGGGACCAGGGAGAGTACGCTGCGCGTACGTAAGGCTATGCAAGGCGTACTAGAGTGCGCCCTAATACGCAGGGTGTACACTGTGTACACTGGGCGTACTCATAAATGAAGGAACCCCTAATATCTCAGGTTAAGGACTGTATAAAAATCCTTATGGCTAATTTTCTCTCATCATTCTCAACCTCCATCTTCCATAAAGGTCCTTAAACCATAGCCATTGTGTGAGAGTGTGAATTGGTGGGTGTTTTGAGCTCTTGTAGGTGGAATCATTGCATCAAGGAGTTGGATAAGAAGTTTGGCTTGTAGATCTGAAGATGTATTGTACCCTAAAAGCTCTTGAAGGTAAAAATATTCAATCTTTATGTTTGTATAACATAGATCTAGCCATTCTAGCATTTTGGAATCATTTCTTGTCCCAAAAGGTCCAAGATGATGTATGTTGTGTTTTGGCGAAATAATATATCCTTCTAGACTCTTCGAGGGGTGTTCAGTGTTAAAAATGAGGTCCCAATGGCTTAGGAGGTCCCATGCAAGTAGTAGAAAGGTCTTAATGGATTAATACCTTGGATTATGAACTTTCTGGACGTCCAAAGTGATAAAGTTTGAGTCTTTATGAGTCGTAGGCATATTTGGTCGATGGATCTGATGTTTGGACTTAAGTTCTTAAGCCATTAAGCACTTATGAGGATTTTTGTTCAGTTTGCATACGCCCTGCGTAGGAAGCTGTACACCCAGCGTACAAGGTCAACAGCCCCGTTTTCTAGTCAACATGAGTCAATGTACGCCCCACGTACTAGAGGAGTGTGCCCAGCGTACGTCCTCTGTTGGGCTTTTGACTTTTGGCTTTGATTTTTGGAATGTTTATGGGCTAGCTGGACTTAGGCCTCTGCTGGTCATTATGGATATGGTGTTTTGGTCCAAGTCTTGGTAATGCATCTTGGATTTAGGCGCAATTAGGTAGTGGGCCCAATTTGGAAAGTTAGCCCAATAATGGGCCTTGTTATATGGACTTACGGATCATGGGTTTGGTATTGGGCCATGGCCTAAATTAGAGGGGAGGCAAATGGGTCTATTGTTATAAGGGATTTTTGGTCAAAATGTATATTTCCGTTTATTGACTCATTATTTGCTATTTTGGATAGTTCAGGATAATCGGTAATATGGTGGTTCGGCAATCTATTTCTTCGGTTCAGATCAACATTTTGCGTTAGTTATCCTTATTATATAAACAGGGTCTAGGCACCAAGGCCGGCCCTTCCTCGAATTCTATACTGGTTTTGTTTGATATGCTTATTGATCTGTTAGATTTGCATCCCAGTAGTTAGGATGGTATGTTGTTAATGACCGGTTAGGTCGGTATCTTGGTTAGGATGTTGCTATGCTATATGATCTGTTAGATCGGTTTGTTTGTCAATGGACTGTTATGTGATTATTTGTTACATGTGCATATGGTTGTTTATTTGGGGTTTGGTTGAGGTGGGTCCTGCTTTGTGGTGTAGGCCAACATACCCAAGGCGGACTGGATAGACTACAGACCCGGAAGGGGCACATAGTCAGGACGAAGGCCTAACGAGCGGTCCGGATAGGCTGAAGGCCCGAGAGGGCGGCCTAGACGTGCCGAGGCTCGGAGAGTGGACCGAACAAACTGAATTTCCGGTGTGGGCGGTCCAGTCATACTGTAGACCCAAGGAGTGGACCAAGTGGACTAAAGGCCAGGTGCGGGCGCGCCAGCCACCCTATAGACTCAAGATGCATGGTTGTTCTGTACTTCTTCAGATGATGTGTTTATGGTTATATGAGGTTGGTATTTTTGGGGTAACTCACTAAGCTTTCGGGCTTACAGTTTCAGTTTATTATTTCAGGTTCAGTGGATGATCATAGGAAGGCGAAGGCGTGATCGTACACCTCCTCGATTGATGATTATGATTTCTGGGAACTCAGATGTTTAAACTATTTTCAAAACCAATTGTAATAATTGAATGGTTTTATATGAATAAAAAGGTTTTAAATTGGTTCGAATTTTATGGATGTTACTCTCTCTCTCTCTCTCTCTCTCTCTCTCTTTATATATATATATATATATATATATATATATATATATATATATATATATATATATATATATGAGAAATTAATATTTTTCTACGTTTGTAGTTTGGAAAAGGGATTTATTTAGTTGATTAGGTGAGCAAAAGTGCTTAATATTGTTTTGCTGACAAGAAAAATCTTGTGAGCTTAATGCTATTAAATGAAGTTTCTTTGGGAGAGATATATGAGCTTAGGAAGGCTAAGTTCAGTTATACTTATATGTGTAATAATTGTTGTGCTTTAGTATGTGGAAAGTAATTATTTATTTGTCCTTTTATATTTATAGTATATGGACAAACTTCTAAAAGGGAAGGAATCAACTAAAGAACTTGGGAAGAAGATTCCTAATGAGTCTGAACACATTAAGTGGAAGGATGATGTTGTTGTGCCAACTAGAAAGCCGATATCATCAAATGTTAAGGAATACGAGTTGATGTATAAAGAGTACATCGTCTACAACACCAATCAAGTTAGTTTATCTTAAACAGATAAGACATAACACCATCTTTTATTTATGAAATGGAGTGCTAAATTGTGCACAATTCACAAGTTGGTTGGTGGTAAGTGGAGTACTTGATAATCTGAATGTTGAGATAAAGAAATCAAGGTAGTACTTTGTTTCGCATCACATAGCTTTGTCATTAAAATTAGAATTATCCACTTCATGTGTAGTCTTTTGTCATCACATAGCTTTGTAATTAAAGTTATACCCTTCATGGTGACTGTAAAAGTCAAAGGACAAAGTAAAGTCCATGACGCATCTGGTTTGAAAGATTATGTGCATATTTTAGAGCAAGGAAAAAGCATTTATAACACAACTTTGATCCCGGTGATGACCAGACTACTGTTTGAGCTTCTAGTAATTGTACCAATGCGGGTCATAGTAGAAAAAAGCTCGATTTTCTTATTATACCAAGGCTTGGATTTTGGTCTTATCTTCCTTAAAATATGGACGTAGTTGGTGATGTTGGACTAGATGGCGCCACTGGTGGATGAAAGTTGGCGGGTGAAATTCGAGAAGGTAGGAGAAAACAGGTTCTCTCGGCTGCACAAAGTTTGGATGTTGCAGGAGATTGTGATCTCGATTATGATGAAGTTGATAACATCTCTTTTTTCCCTTATGTGTTGGCACGAGGAGTATTTTTGGTATTTGGGTACCCATTAGTGGTGAACTCGGCTATTTACAGTTTTACATGGATGGGATGTTTGAGTTTTAGTATGGTAATCGGTAAAAGGTAAAAGGTAAAAGCGATTCGACATCATATGATATATTATCATATATTGATGTGTTATCATATATGAGTGGTTGTTTGATCAATGTTTGTTGACACAAATATATGAAATGTGTTACATCATCAGATGAGATGCATATTGATAAGTACATGTAATAATACAGAGGATGGATGTTGATCAAATATTGCACGAATTGCAAAACAATAGATATACACAGAGCTTGGACACCAAATTCTTTTCTTTATAGGTGACTATCTCTATATTCTGGGATATGCATCTCATAACCATTTGTTTCTATTACAAGATTACTGCATCTCACAAACATATGTATTACCTGTTGAACAATAGGATTGCATGAAAAACTACATATATGATGTTATTGTAATGGTATGGCGTTCTATAGGTCTATTTTAGATTCACCTTATGTTATATTCTCAAAATTTAAAGTAGATCAACTTTTTTTGTCTAACTTTTGAGTAGTGAGTGATCTTTTCGCCCAGAAAGATTTTATGTTAATGGGTACAGAAATCTAAGGTGGGCTCACTCTGTTATGATCTGTGTTACTCAGTTGTCACCATTACTTTTGGCCAAAAATGAGTACGCTTCAACACATATTAATTCTCTTTTTTTATTTGGGATAGTGTTATTAAATATTATTAGTATCTTTGTATTCACATGTTCTTAGTTCCAAATCAGGGATATTTGAATTTGTTGATTTTGGTGGTGAAATGAGACGACATATATGGTGCTAAAAAAGGTAAGACAAGGGCAACAAATTATGATATTAATGGCATTAATCACCTGTATTTGTGATTGTATTCAATAACTATGGATTCAATACTTACCTAAGTTGACCTAGCAGTTTATTCTTCTAGCTGGGGTAGCTGAGCTTAAAGTTGCAATTGAAAAAACTAGATAACTTGTTGTGTTAGCAAAAAGCTTTGGCCATTCAGTTTTTAAAGATTATTTATTGTGTGTTTTCCAATCGAGTAACAATGACTTAGGTTTATCAATAAAGTAAGGTTTGATTTAGTCTCTTCAATCCTTAACACATTGATATGTCATATATTAATGTTGACTCAATTAGTTCTTGTTTTTGTTGTAAATTGTAAAGTGTAATGAGCTTCTTACTTTCTGCATTGGTATATTTGAAGTAAACTTTTAAATGGAAATCAAAATTCAGGGTATTCTTGCTCCATGTGAATCACATTAGAAGGTCATATAGTGTTTTAATGAATGTTTACTCTCTGTTGACAAATTGTTGTTTTTGTGCAGAAAAGTACTTTATGTTCTGATACTAGTATTGGTCAACAGGGGTGATAGGTCTAGGAAATATACATACATGCTGATTTATCATATAAGTTACTTTAATTGTTAATTTATCAACATATATGAACATTATTGTTTAGTGTTTGTACTATTGCATATGATATCAATTTTTCACTTTCTATGTGTTGTTTTTCTGTTGTACTTTTTTCACATTCTTTCTTCCCAACTTCAATTGTAACCATTTTTATAGTGCTTCAAATGTTAATATATTAATTACTAATTATTGATTAACTGAAATTCAAACTTGGTTTTTTCATTTTCAAGGATTTGGTTGTTGGGTTTAAACAACAAGCAGCTGCATGCAATAGTCATGGGACTCCTAGTTTCTTTTAAAATGGAAACAGAGCTAACAGGTTAAATCTATCTATTTTCTATATAACTATGGAATCTTAACTCTTTGATTTTCTTTCTATGAAAAGTTTCCATTTCTTATTTGATGGCTGATATTATTGCTCACTATAATGTAATCCTAGTGTTTCTATGTTAAGTAACATACAATGTACGGTTTATTTATTGTTTAATAGGGTTGATAAAAACTTACCTTTAGAGCATTAACAACAACAAACATATTAGTACCACCTTACTTCATTTGTTGTACTTCAGATTTTAAGGCTTATGTATGCAAACTTGGGGACTTCAATACACACTTGCTTATAACAATGTACCAAAACTAAGGAAATAGAAAAAGACACAATGGAAATAGGAAACGTTTCAGAGCTTCTTTAGACAGCCTAATGATGAGTTACTGAAACAAGAAGGTGCCCCTTTATTGCAATGCAGTATTAGGTTATATAGTTAGGGAAAACCTCTTAATAACAATGTACAATCAGATCCCTTTAATAACAATGTATTATAATTTTTTGACATGATGTTATTGGATGAAATTGATTGTTTTGGTATATATTTGTTTCTATATTTTTATATTATGATAACAGAGTATCGTAAAGGCAAGTCATGTATGCATATTGTAAATGGTTGCTGAAGTTTATGACACACAAATGCATGTCATATTCATTTATGACAGGGGCTTTAATGATACGCAGTGCGTATCCTAAACGCTTGTCGTAAGGTTACGAAACGCAAATGCGTGTCACCTTCCTTTATGACAGGGCCTTCCTTGATACACATTGTGTGCCGTAAATGCGCGTCATAAATAGATGACCCGCAAAACCGTGTCGTCTTTCATTATGATAGGGACTTCCTTGACATGCATTTGCATGCCGTCTGAGCGTTTTACGATACGCATTGCAAGTGGTAAAAAGGTTGTTTTTTTAACAACCCGGTAGTTTTACATTGTGAAATCGATCCATATATCTATAATTCGCGTGAATTTAGCATCTTTTAGCAAAAATGTTGGGTCCGTGCGAGTGTTTTAGGCTTAGTACATCATAGATGTGGGCCATAGGAAGGGTTAAGAAGGGTTTTGCATCGCAAAATCCAGCCAAACACACCACAATAGGTGTGTAAGGCCAAACAACCGCACACCCAACCGCAAACCCCTCCAGCCTCTCACCCGCTCCTATATATAGTAGAGGACCCCTTTCCATTAACTTTTCGTTGCACTCTCTTCCTCTCTCTACTTTCTCTCTCTAAAAACATCACCCAAGAACACTTAGAAGGCCTCCAAAACATGAAGAACATCATCTTTCAGCCTTTTATAGAGGTAAAACACTTGAATCCAAGCCCAAAACTCATAGTGTTCTTCGTGTTCTTCACTCCTTGAAGGAGTGTGCGGTCGCAAACCTTCATCAGGTTGTCGTACACATTCAAAACACCCTCCAAAGTGAGAGTATGGCCACAAAATCGACAAATAGGACTCAAACAAGGAGTGTACGGTTGTACACACACCCTGTACGGCGGCACACTCTAGTGTGCAGCCTCACACACAAGTCTGGCCGCATTCCCCAACCGTACACTCACTTTTATGGTTATATACCCACCCTAATACTCATGTTTGACCTTAAACTTGCATACATCACTGAGTATAGAATACAGAACACTTATTCCTAGTGATTCCAAGTCCTTAGTGTGATTTCCCATCATTTTAGGCATGAAACACCCTAGCTCTAACTTATACATGTGTCACCATATGATTAATAGGGGCTACTTGAGTTCAGAGCATCCGTTGACACCCGACACTCATATCGATAGCACACTTGAACCCTACGTCAAACTGTGAGTTCATACCCCCTTAATTGACCTTTCAAATGTTTTAATTCTTTTGGGGGGGATACAAGTTGAATCCAATACATTGCAGAATCAATCACACGTGATTGATGGCTTACTATCAAAAGGATTTTTACATTTTTCTTTAAAAGTATTTTGTCAGTAAAATTATTTTAAATGTTTATCAACCTCATTTTCACGAATCAATTGTCTCAAAACTGATTTTTAATGTTTTCAAACCTTAAATTATTTCCAAATCATATCTACACTAATATATTTATATAAATAAGTATTGAAGGACTTAGAACTGATAACTGACCTTATTTCATGTTCTTGTTTGGTTGTGGACTTAGGGTATTAGGTTATCTGTCCGACTGTCGTTTAATATTTAGTTATATATCTTGTATATTTGTGTTAGATATAAAAGTTTTCATTCTAGTCTGATACTTCTACATATCGAAGACACTAAATCAAGCACTCAAATTAACTATAATAGGTATAGTTAAGGATTACCACTCAATTTTTTATATTACTATGATACACACTATGGTCAGTACAATTACAAGACTATATGTACAATATATAATGTGAATAGAACATTATACACTATACACTATACTAAGGGAACACTACCCGCTATAAGAAGAAATACTATAAACTACATCAGGAGAACATTACATAGTTTACTAAGATAAACACTATATATCATATGTAAGAAAATACTATAGCAGAATGTGATCCACTATCTCTCTATAC